GTTCTAAAAATCAAATATTTGAAAAATCACATGTTATACTAATTTCTAATATTTTTGTAGTACGTATCAACGACACTGTCACCTTTGTCGAGGATGGCTTTGATGAAGACATTGAGTTCGGTGATGAGATCAGTGATGACGATGAAGACGATGTTGACAATGTAAGTAAAAGACATTACCATAAATCTTAGAACTCTTGAAGATAGATCTGATAGCTACTTTCCTTGCTTTGTTATACCTCTTATAATCATGAGTCTATATAAAACTATTAATAATATGCTCTACCTCTTACAGATCTGATGACCTCCAGTATAAATATATTTAAAAGGTATGATACAGGAGTGCATGAAGAGACCCATTCATTTTACAAGATGCTACAATTCGTTGCGCAACTGATATATAAAAATTCCTTTTTTTTAAATAAGTAGTCAATTTCTCTGTATTAAATAAATTTTCACTTATCCGTGTAATATTGTGTTCCGGTCTTACGATTGTTGGACGCAAAATTTTCAGGAATATAAATCTCATTAGTCTTATGGTATTCACTATATAGCCTGCCTTTTAATTCTTTGTGACCTTGGATTAAAAATAATGGTCCCACTTAGAATGGACCAAAGTATATATCGATTTTCTTAAAAATTTACACTTAAATTCTGTATTTGAATAATCTTTCAGTTTTACTGTTCGGCAGGAACGATCTAAAAATGCGGATAGTTACTGTATTTATGTATGTTACCAGTACGTTGTTCTTGTAGCTCTTTTCTTTTGTACATTTTTTCTATAACAAATTAAGTGACACATGTATTTCATCATCGCTGTTTTTAATCAGGGGGTTTAGTGAGTCACCATACATCACACACAATAGTTATTTCTATATGTGTTAAAGCGTTTCTCATTGAAGAATTTGTTATATAATACATGTGCAACTTGTCAAAGGAGATTATGTAAGTGTATTTTAAAAAACGGTTCAGTGTAATATTGAAATCAGAATATTAATAGTAAATAATAAAGCAATATACAAACATTAATAATGGTGCATGAAAAAATTTCTGTTAGAAACGAAATAACGATCCCCATAATCGGTGCAACAATTAGCTCGAAAATGTTTTCGAAAAAAAGTATTAGTTACGTATTATATTACACATTACTTTTAAATATTATTATTTTATTCTTCTGTACTTTGTATTAAAAAAAAATATAGTCAAGTTGTATGGATCATGTTACTGTTGTGTAAAACATTGATTCCATAAACTTGTACTAAAGGAAATTCATGTCAACTGTTAACAACGAATAAAAATATCTAAAACGCTAAACCTGTAGTTCATTTTATTACATTCTACCCTGATGCTTCAAACGTATTTGACAGGAATTTAAAATAATTTATTACGTATTATTAGAACTTAATAATCGGGATTGGATACAGAGTACCTGTACTTTTTTACAATTACATCAAGAATTCTGATGCAACAGTTTATTTATTACATTGTCGTTGATAACTATCACACAATAGTATATGATAAAATCATAGCTTCTTCCCATCTCTGTTACTTTTTTGATATCGTACGCCATGCCATGGCTTTAAATATTTTTAAATATAACATTGCGATAGTTTAAGGGAGAAGTTAAGCGGAGAAAAATTAGAGTTAGTCACGTCGTGTTATCCGTAAAACCAAAAACCATGAAATAACGTACAAAATTACAGTTCGGAGCTAGAAGCGCACTGATGCGATACTGAATGTTAAATACATTTTGATTCGAACGCATGTGCGCGGAACGCCATACACAGTTTTTTCACTTTTGCATGCTCCATTTCATGTCTGTTAATAATTTTCTTCGTGCGTTAACTTGTAACACAAGGTACAGGTAGTAAAACACCGAAGCGAGTAATATACTTATAGTCATGATTACAAAGTTTTGTCACAGTGCCAACGTTTACCTCGCTGATTTAATTTTAAGCCGAATTCTATTTATTAGTCATTTAAATGGTTCTACGCATTTCGTTAGATAAAGTTATTTAGTTACAATGTTTTACAGAGGTGTATTTGTAAAAATTAGAATCAAGCGAATCGTTTAAAACGTTCGAAGCGTTTCCCTGCTCGTATTAAAATTTTTGTATATCGGGGAATAAAATAAGTTTACCCTTATCATATTCTCGAATTAAGAATACAGTGGGTGATAAGCTTAGGCAATTACAAAATGTGTATATGTTCTTTGCTGCGTAATGTTACTGGCTTCACAAAAACTGTTATGGGAAGAAAATTTCGTATGATAAATAAATGGAGCAGCTCCTTCTCAATTAAGAATTTCGTTTTTATTTTCTACCATATTATATATTAATTTCATTTAATTGAATTTTGCTTTTTTCGATAAAATAAATTGGATAAAAATATAATTTAGACTCATGCCTACTCA